CGATCAGTAGCACGGTGGCCGCCATCAAGACGGACATCACCAAGCTGCAGACGAAACCGGACGCCACTACGAAGAACTACAAGATGCCGCACTTCGACATCAGCAAGTTCGACGACCACAACAAGACGGACGCTTTGGCATGGTGGCAACGTTTCCTTACGGAAGCATCATGCCGCACTGTCCCGGACGACTATCTGATGAAGGCGTTATACTTACAGCTGATTGGAGGAGCGCATGCATGGATGAACCATCTGGCGGCTACCCACACATGCACCATCGCCGAACTTCACACGCACATTACGTGGAAGGATTTCGAGAAGCTATGGTTCACCCGGTTCATGGTCCGCAACGTCGTGAAGGCGGCCATGAACGAGGTGTACACCTCCTCTCAAGGGAGTATGCCAACTCGAGACTGGACAACCAAGTGGTTGAAGATAGTGACCACGCCAGGCTTCGATTAGAGTTTTCCAAATCAACTATCCGAGTTCTTCTCGCGATCGTGCGCAGGATTGCGGTCGGCACTCGGTAACGAGTACGACTATACCTCGTTCCAGGCTATCCTGGATCGCGCAAACCTGGTCATCCAAACGGACGACAAGGCCGCTAACGAGAAACAATCCCAGCCGCATTATGTGGCTAAGCAGGGCTATCAACGTCCGGCACATAACAATGCCGTGATTTCTGAAGAGACAGACGATCTCCACGCTGCAGCAGCATCCTCGAGTGATGGAGGAATTGTAGCAGCGCTCCCGCCGAAGCGTCCTAAGAGGGTCCGGAAACCCAAGGCGACACAAGAGACGGCATCGACGGGAACTGTGCAGCAGCCATGGACGGCCTACAACATCACCAAGGAAGTCTATGAACTTCGTCAAAAGTATAGATATTGCCTTTGGTGCAATGGAGTCACACAGTTGACTGCACAATGCGCCGAAAAGGGCAAGGCACGCATACTCCGTCCAACAAACTCAGGAAACTGAGTCACGCAAGGAGAGGGGCGACGTCTCTCCTCACCCCGTCGGAACCGGTTGCCTTGCTAGCAATCGATGTCACTACCGGGGAGCATGCGTCAGTCGCTGATTCTTGTGCTACGTACGAGGATTATGCCGCCCAGCTGGTACCACCATTAGACCAGCCATGCCACGTGCATTTAGCTAGCGTATGCGCAGCCTGCACACCGTCGGCAAGTGATCCGGTCAGTTCGCCAATGATTTCCGAGGACTCGACGGCGTGGTCAAGACTTGAGGAGCTTGACCCGCTCACGAGAGAGGACTTCGCTTGGATGCCTCTACCCTCGACCGAAACCTTGCCAAGGCCGCATTGTAACGCCTTGATGGCAGATTTACGCTCCTATTTGCACACTACAGTACCAGCTCCGTTGACGGACGACGGGGTAGCGGTTGTCGATCTCCGCTCCTATCTTGCGAAGATTGACCGCGAGTACGCCACCCAAAGGTACGCCGAAACCGATGCGCCTTTGCTCTATATCCGCATTCAAATCGGAAAGGCAACCTGTAGTGCCTTGATTGATTGCGGAGCGTCTCGCAACTTTATGAGCCAAGCCTTTATGGCCCGCGCAGGCCTTGGCTCGCGCGTTCGAAGGAAGATGCAACCCACGCAAGTCACACTCGCGGACGGCCGCACGCAAAAGTCAATTGACCGATGCGTCGACGGCGTTCCGGTATACTTTGCGCCACTTGCGTGCGAGCCGGTGTCTTTTGACATCCTCGACACCAAGTTCGACATGATTCTAGGCATGTCTTGGTTGCGTAGCGCCGATCATCCGATGAACTTTCATGACCGAACCGTTCACATCCGTGATCGGAATGGAGTGTTAGTCCCATGTACGGTCGCGACCCCTCACACTTCGATTGCTTGTCACGTGGTTTCCGTTGCGAGAATTCGCGACGCCATAGCTCGGAATGACGTCGAGGAGATGAGCCTTGTATTCTTGCATGCTCTCCCCTGGCCGGACGGACCAGCCGCGTCACCGTCGGACCCACGCATTTCTCACCTCTTGGACGAGTATAGAGACGTCTTCGAGGCTCCCACCGGAACGGTTCCGGATCGGCCCATACGTCACGGGATCACTCTCGAGGTTGGCGCCGTCCCTCCGCGTGGATGTATCTACCGCATGAGCGAAGAGGAACTCGAGGTGCTTCGCGCACAACTCGATGACCTTCTCGACAAGGGCTGGATTTGCCTTAGTTGCTCGCCATACGGTGCCCCTGTTATCTTCGTCCGGAAGAAGAACAAAGATCTACGGTTATGCCTCGATTATCGGAAACTTAACGCACAAACCGTAAAGAACGCCGGCCCTCTCCCTTGGATTGATGATCTTCTTGAGCGGTTAGGCGGCGCGACGTACTTCTCGAAGTTGGACTTGAAGTCAGGTTACCACCAGATTGAAATCCAGCCTCAAGACCGGTACAAGACCGCGTTCAAGACACGGTACGGGCATTTTGAGTGGGTTGTCATGCCCTTTGGCCTCACCAATGCCCCCGCGACTTTCCAAGCAGCGATGACGACTGAGTTTCGCGACTTGCTCGATTGCAGCGTCCTCATCTACCTTGATGACATCTTGGTTTACAGTAGGACGTTGGACGAGCACATCGTACACCTTCGCGTTGTTCTGGATCGTTTGCGACTAGCCAAGTACAAAGCGAATCTCGACAAGTGCGAATTCGCGAAGCAAGAGCTTGAGTACTTGGGTCATTTTGTCACGCCGAAAGGCATTCGTCCCTTAGCGGACAAGATCCAAGCCATCGTGGATTGGCCGGAACCCCGTTGCACGACGGATGTACGCTGTTTCATGGGTTTGGCTGGATATTATCAGCGATTCGTCGAGTCATACTCGAAAGTGGTTGCTCCTTTGTCGAGACTTCAGTCCCCGAAGGTGCCCTTCGAGTTCGACGACGCAGCCCGTGACGCGCTCGCTACGTTGAAGGCAGCAATGCAAGCCGCACCGGCCCTCCGTATATATGACCCCACCCTTCCCACCCAAGTGACTACGAACGCTTCGGGATACGGTATTGGTGCGGTGTTGGAACAGTGTCACGAGGACGGTTGGCATCCGGTC